ATCACACATCTTCTTAATTCACAAAATAATTAAAATAGTTGTTTCCTTCACAGTAGATGTAGAACTCAGAATAAAGTGAGAGTTGAAATATACATACAGTAAAAAAATAAAAATATAACTTAAATAAAAATATAACTTACTGCAATGTAAAAGTTAGAAATATACAGACAGTAGGTGTAGATTGTTATATGTATGTTTTGAATAACAAGCCTTTTTGATAAAGTTTGTACCGTAATATACAATTTCTAATATTCCAAATAATTTTACATGAATTAGAAAAAGTTGAATATTTAAGGTTTTCTAAGGTTAATGTATTTTCCACTGATGGTTTCTTGCTCCATAACAATAAACAAGAGTCAAAGCCAATATTTATAGCATTATGATATGTTTTTGGAGACAACGATGTTATGTCGCGGTCAGATGTACGTAGATATTTCACGTGTCACGAATCATAAAAGTTTGAAGATTTTAAGTTGTGGTGTACTAAAATCAAATAATGGTGTGTACTAGGAGGTGTTTAATAATATATAAATACCAATTTGTTTTATTCAAATACATGCATTTTACGTTCTGATCAATCATCTAATCTTACAAATCTAACTTTCCTTAATAATATTAGCTCGTGCATCGCAAGAGTACGCACTAGTTTGTTTTCTAAAAAAGAAATGCATCCACAGGGAGAAGCCTTTCTTGTGCTTGTTCACTTGAGGAAATTAATTAGGTGAGACCGACGTCTTATGAATCATTATCCATATGAATCACTTGACAACTTAAAGGCGAAAATTCCTCTCATAATTGAAATGGTTAACAACTTAATTGAAATTTAACAGGTGATGGTGGAGTTCATGAAAAAAAAAAAAAAAATACAGGTAGTTTTCGAAAATTAATTTATATTTATCATGATCGGCCAAAATTTATAATTTGCTAAAATTTTGAATCATTGGAACAACATTTATAGGTATATTTTTTTTCGAGATTTTAAAGATTTTTTAACACTTCAGAAATTCTGGTGTATTTGGTTAAGATTTTTTAAGATATTTTAAGAATTTTAAAAGTCTCAAGCTATATCTTAAGGTATTTAATTTATTTGAGACTATTATTCATTAAATTCTTTTTAAAAAGTCTCAAATTTCAAAACGTCACTCATAGTCATATCCCAAACGAATAATTTTCTTTTTAAGAGTTGTTATTGGACATGTCGGTTCAAATTATGAAGTACCTTTTTCTAAAAGAAAAAAAAAAAGAAAATATGAATTAGTTGTTAATTCCAAAATAATTGAGCATACTTCTTATTTATATATGGAAAATATTACAGTCCCAGTCATGAAAGAATTCCGTGAGATTTATTAACCTTTAATATACATGTAAATTAGTGGATAATGCTCCTTATCCACGGTAGTCACATGTTAATATGCACATGTTAGTGGTCACATGTTAATATGCACATGTTAATATGCCAACACTTATGTGGCATGCACAAATTAGTAATGTTAATATGTTAAAAAAATACGTATATGTCACATAAGCGGTGAGAGCATATTAATATATGAACATTACTGATAAATTAATTATTGTAGATATTACATGATTAAAAAGCCTGAGGCAATCTTTTCGTGACGGTAGTTTTTTTCTTTATTTTAAAAGCATTACTTTTTCATTAGTTTTGAGGCCAATAGCCAACAAAATAATTAGTTAAAA